TGCTTGTTCTTTAGCCTACTTGAGTTGTTCTTGGTGAAGTTGGGCCTTGAGTTCCTCTTGTTGCTCCAAAATTGCCTTGACGCAAGAGCCATGTGCTCATGGCAATCATATTTTGTGTCCTCGGGGTCGCACTCCTCTTCTTCTTCCTCTTCATCTTCCGGAATGTCCTTGGCCTTCAAAGAAAGGGTGGGAGTGCTTTTCTTTGACTGGACACGAGCAAGAGCATTGTCAGCGGTCTTGTTCATGATGTTCATGGCAATAAACTCATCCAACACTTCGCTTGAGGTTAGGGTGTGAAAGTCCGGACTTTGACGAATCAAGGAAGACATGGCCTTGTTGAATGGCATGATGGCCTTGAGGAACTTGCACTTGATCCAAGTGTCATCCGTATCCTTGCTTTAAACACGGATCTGGAGTAGTTTTCAACCCCTCAAGTAATTATTTAAACACGAATTTGACCTCAATCATCATGGAAGACTTAAGTAAAGCCATGGCTTCATTTAAGTCGTCTCGAGTGATCAAAGTCAACTCCACGGCCTCTGGAACTTCCTTCTCGGCATCAACCATACTCTTCGGGTGGTGAAACCCTTAATGAAGAGACAAGGCTCTGATATCAATTGAAAGGATCGAAGTGGTTGACTAGAGGGGGAGTGAATAGGCAACTACCAATTTTTAGCTTTTCTTAACAAATTAGGTTTAGCAATAAATAGGTTGTCTAGATGTGCAAGTAGGTTCGACAACTTGATTGGAGGCTCCCAAGGATACACGGAGCTTCACCACAATGGAATGTGGCTCCGAGATGACCTCAACCATCTAGGATGCTCAAACACCCACGAGTAACAAAATCCGCAAGGGATTAGTGGGGGGAATCAAATATCTCTTGGTGGAAGTGTAGATCCGGGCCTTCTCAACCAATCCCTAGAAACTCAACAATTTTGATTGGCTAGGGAGAGAGATCGGGCGAAAATTAGCTTTGGAGCAACAATGGAGCTTGGGGAAAGAGGTAGGTCTTCTTGGGGAAGAAGGCCTCCTTTTATAGTGGGGAATCAAATCCAACCGTTATCCCACATCTCAGCCCGCAGAGAGCGGTACTGCCGCTTGGCCCAGCGGTAGTACCACTGGGGTTGCGCACAGAGAGTAGAGAGAAGGGACAGGAGAGAAAGGGCCCTGGAGCGGCACTAGAAGCAGTGGTAGGATGGTACTACCGCTTGCAAGCGGTACTACCGCTCCTACTGCCGCCCATCCCGACACAAGACGCGACGTCCTCGAATCAAGGTGGTACCAGCGCGGAGCAGGAGCCGTACTACCGCTGATGGCCACAGGCGATACTACCGCTTGAGGCTGTCAGTGGTACTACCGCTCTGGCCTGGCGGTACTGCCGCTGGCTCCTCCCAAGTGCCACTTCCGCGATATCGGTAAACTCCAAGGAAAAGGAAAGGATCTGGGGGTGCAAGATAGATGTGCACGTGTTGATTCCACCCTAGCCTTTCCGATACGGGCCCCCTCTTGATAGTACGGTGTCTCGTACGACTCAAGTCCACCAAAACCAAACCAAATGAGACTGCACCGTCTTCACCTTGAGCTCCGAGGGGAAAGAATCATCTCGTGCCAATGAATGAATAACTGAAATGCTCAATGCACACGATTAGTCCGCAAATGCATTGTCATCAATCACCAAAACCACTTAGAGAGAGACATTCCATAACACTTGGGTATGTTTCCCATAGAAAGCTAGGGTTAAAGTAATGTCGTTCTTATCCACTTTATCCACCAAACTGAAATCATTTTGACATACAAAATGGATCCTCGACACATAATAGTTAATGCCATGCTCATTGGGAAGGCCAGTACGTATATCAAGATGACCCATATATATGATCTGCGATAAAAAAACATAGAGCAAAAAAACATTGGGAAAATAGTGGTGTGTGCTATAGCATATATACAATGCATGCAACAAAACTCTGGAACACGAGCATATGTAGACACGAGCTAATCTAAAACTCTGGAGGATTTTTCGTTGTTTGCTAGATTTGCTTCTTATCTTGGAACACTACAACCTCCTCCATGGTTGCTTCCAAAAACTGCTCATCCCAAGCGAACTCGTGCACCGAAGCCATGTCTTCAAGGGAAGCCATGTATTCAAGGTTGATCATATTCTGAGTGCATGGACATAGGATTGTCGCCAAGGTAATGAGAATCCATGTCCTCTCTACCATCACCTCATCCGTCTCGCTGCAAGCTTTCAACAAATCAATTGCATGGTTGATTGGAGCGGTGTTCCCCTCTTTGTAAATGTTGCAAAGGTTGCGTTGATCGCTCTTTTTGAGGAGCTTCACGGGTCTGTCACATGATTGCACGTTGAATATCCTCTTCACCATGAGCCTGCTAAAATTAATGACCTTATTCTTATATCTAAACTGACGTGACATATGATTCATGTGCATCACAACGAACTCAATGAGCTCATGGGATACTTTGAAGGGTTGGATGTCCAACAAATCTCCAAAAGATCCTTTCGTGATGATATCATGTTCCGCCAGTGCTAATCCTTTCCCAACATTCCCCAGCCGCTTTGGATAGAACCACAGTTTGAACCCGCAAAGATTCTCTGTTGCCTTATTATTATTATTATTATTATTATTATTATTATTATTATTATTATTATTATTATTATTATTCTAACTTGTAGTACGTACAAAAGCAACAAGAAAAAGGGAAAAGATGGAGCAAAAACGCATTGAGTTGTACTATAAAAGGAACATTGATACACAGAAAGCCAAAAACAACTATCTACTCTGCTCTTCCCCCAGAAATGCCTCAACAAACACAATAGAAAAATCAAGAAATAATCAACATTTGATATATGTTGTGTAAAAAAACTAGCAAACGTGTATATGCAACAAAGTTGGAGAAAACCTATCAACAAATAATTGCATCGAAATCCTATCAGACAACATTATTGTAGCAAAATTTAGTTTAGAACCCCTTCCCCCACCCACTCCCTATAATACATGCACCTATGATCACATAACTGCAGTTGGGTA